CACCAACAGTGTACTAGGGTTCCCTTTACTCAACAGCCTTGCCAGCACCTGTTGTTTGTTGATCTGTTTCTGATGGCCATTCTGACCGGTGTGAGGTGGTACCTCATGGTGGTTTTGATCTGGATTTCTCTGATGGCTAGTGATGCCGAGCATCCTTTCAAATGCCTCTGGGCCCTCTGTATCTCCTCCTTGGAAAAGTGTCTGCCCAGGTCCTTTGCCCAGGTTTTGATTGGATCATTTGTCGTCTTGGAGTGGAGTTGTGTGAGTTCTTTATATATTTTGGAGATCAAACCTCTATCTGCTGTATCATTAGCAAATACATGTTCTCATACGGTTGGCTCCCTTTTCATTTTGCTGATGTTTTCTTTAGCCGTGCAGAAGCTTCTTATTTTGAGGAGGTCCCACTTGTTTATTCTTTCCTTTATGTCCCTTGCTTTAGGAGACATATCAGTGAAAAAATTGCTGCATGGGATATCTGAGAGTTTTCTGCCAATGTTCTCCTTTAGGACTTTGATGGTGTTGCGACTTACATTAAGTCTTTTATCCATCTTGATTTTTTTTTTTGTATGGTGGCAGCTGATGATCCAATTCCAATTTTTTGCATGTAGCTGTCCAGCTCTCCCAACATTTGTTGAAAGGCTATTATTACCCCAACTTTATGCTTCTGCCCCCGTTGTCAAATATTAGTTGCCCATATAGACCTGGGCTTATTTCTGACTTTCTGTTCTGTTCCACTGGTGTATGGGTCTGTTCTTGTGCCAGTACCAGACTGTTTTGAGTATGGTGGCTTTGTAAAGAGTTTGATGTCCGGTATTGTGATCCCTCCTACTTTGTGTTTCTTTCTCAAAATTGCTGTGGCTATTCGGGGTCGTTTATGGTTCCATATAAATTTTTGAAATGTCTGTTCTATTTCTGTAAAATGTGTCATTGGTATTTTAATAGGGATTGCATTGAATCTATACATTGCTTTGGGTAGTTTGGACATTTTGATGATATTAATTCTTCCAATCCATTAAGGCGGTATATGCTTCCATTTATTTGTGCTTCCTTAATTTCTTTCTTCAATGTTGTACAGTTTTCTGCCTACAGGTCTTTTACCTCCTTGGTTATATATTCCTAGGTACTTTATTTTTCTTGTTGCTATATCGAAGGGTATTTTTTTTCTGATTTCTTCTTCTTCTATTTCATTGCTGGTGTACAAAAATGCCTTTGATTTCTGAATATTGACTTTGTATCCTGCTGTTTTGCCAAATTCACTTATTAGGTTGAGTAGTTTTTTGGTGGAGTCTACAGGGATATCTGTGTATACAGTCATGTCATCTGCAAACAATGATAGTTTTACTTCCTCCTTTCCTGTTTGGATGCCTTTTATTTCTTTTTCTTGTGTGACTGCTGTGGCTAGGACTTCCAATACCATGTTGAATAGAAGTGGTGAAAGTGGACATCCTTGTCGTGTTCCCAATTTTAATGGGAAAGCTTTTAGTTTTTGCCCTTTGAGTATGATGTTGGCTGTAGGTTTTTTATATATGGCCTTTATTATGTTGAGGAATGTCCCATTTATTCCCATTTTACCGAGTGTTTTGATCATAAATGGGTACTGTATGGTATCGAATGCTTTTTCTGCATCTATCGAGATGATCATGTGGTTTTTGTCTTTCCTTTTGTTTATGTGATGTATTATGTTTATTGACTTGCGTATATTAAACCATCCCTGCATCCCTGGGATGAATCCCACCTCATCATGGTGTATAATCTTTTTAATGTATTCCTGGATGTGGTTTTTGCCAATATTTTGTTGAGGATTTTAGCATCTATGTTCATCAGCGAAATTGTCCTGTAGTTTTCTTTGTAGGGTCTTTATCTGGTTTTGGGATTAGAGTGGTACTGGCCTCATAAAGAGTCTAGGAGGCTTTCCTCCTCTTGGATTTTTTTAGAATAGTCTGAGAAGGACAGGGGTTAGCTCTTCCTTAAATGTTTTGTAAAATCTCCTGTGAAACCGTCTGGCCCAGGACTTTGTGTGCCGGGAGTTTCTTGATTACTGCCTCAATTTCCCCAGCTGTTATCGGTCTGTTCAAGCTTTCTGTTTCTTCCTCCTTCAGTGTTGGAAATTATACTTTTCTAAAAATTTGTCCATTTCATCAAGATTTTCAAATTTCTTCGCATATAATTGTCCATAGTAGTTTCTGAAGATCCTTTGTCTCTCTGTGGTATCAGTTGTTATTTCTCCTCTTTCATTTCTGATATTATTAATTTGGGTCCTCTCCCTTTTTTTCTTGATGAGTCTGCTTAAAGGCTTGTCAATTTTATTTATCTTTTCAAAGAAACACCTCCTGGATTGGTTGATCCTTTGAGAATTGTTCTTTTCGTCTCTGTGTCATTCAGTTCTGCTCTAATCTTGATAAAATTTTTTTTTTTTTTGAAAGATACTGTTTTGCTTTAACATTTTAGAAGTGATAAGTAGAGGTCTTTCTTTTGCTTTCCAGTAGGTGATGCTATAGCATAGTTTTTGTTTTTGTTCCCCCCCACCCCTCCGCCCTTTTTACCTGAACTACTTGGACTTTCTTGATGTTGGAGGGGTATGTTGCCATGGCCATGGAAAATGCCTTATATTCCTTAAGGAGGTGGGTGTCCCCTCTGTGTCCCCTCTGTGACTGGGTCATTTCAGTCTCAGGCCACTGTTTCTGTGGTGAGATGTGATAGGTGGTGAGGCTCTAGGCCTGTGATATCTCAGCATTAGTTCTCTATAACTAGAGGCTGCTATCCACACTGTACTTTCGAAGGTGTCCCAGCTGCCTGTGCTGGGTTCTTCTTCAGTGAGTGGGGGAGGAGTGGGCAGGAGGAGGTGAGTCTGCCAGTCTGTGGTTTCCTTCCTCCCCTCCCTCCCCCCCTCCTTCTTTATTTTGAGAGTGTGTTTATTAAAGCTGGATGGGAGAGGCCACAGGTGAGAACCTAGGCAGGGCTGCTTTGGCTCAAGTCAGATAAAAGGGGGTTTTGGAGACAGGTTCCGGAGGTTAGCCCAGGACGAGCTGCTGCTCATTACGTCTCTGGTTGCATATCTTGTTAAGTCCTGTAGAATTTAGGAAAGATGCAACTTGTGGGGGAAGAAGAGGAGGAAAGGAAAGGTGTGGGCATGTTCTTGGGGGAGAGAGCATGTGGCTTTCTTTTTTTCCCCCCACTGCGTTTAGCTGCATTGTGTACCAGCCATTTAGGCTGGAACGTTGCTTCTGCTCTTTTGGCCTTCTTCAGGCTTCTCTGAGTGTGACTGTATTCCGACACCTCCATTGCTACTCTTGTCATCTGGAGCTGGGGGAGATTCACAATGCTTTGTGTTTTTTTTTTTTTTTTCCTGATAATGGTGGCTGTCAGTTTGCAGATGCCATGTCTTTGCTCTGCCTCTGGCCTCTCTCACTGGGCTCAGCTGCAGTGTGTACTGGCCACTCAAACCAGAATGCTACCTCTGTGCCTCTGGACTCTCTCTCTGGACTGCCAAGCGAGGCTGTCATCTCCTTCTTCCCCTGCTCACTCCCTTATGCCCATCTGCAGATGTCTCAGTGCATGGATCCCTCAGATATATTTGTGCATTGAACAGGGACTCTTTTGTTGAATTATAGTTGTCCAACTTGGAACTTTAAGGGGAGAGACTAAGAAGTCTTCTTACTTGGCTATATGCTGATGTCACTGTGAGACCCTGCTTTTAACTCTTTTGGGTGCTTACCCAAGAGTAGAATTGCTGGATCATATGGTACTCCTATTTTTATTTTTTTTGAGGAGCCACCATACTGTTTACATTTTTTAACAGGTTAAAATGTTATCTTGTTATTATAATCTATATTTTTTGTTGGTAGTAGTAAGGTTTAATATTTTGCTTCTGTTTTTTACATGTATATCTGATAATCATTATTTACAGGTTTTGTATTTGTGAATTTGTTTACTCTGTAAGATTTATTTTAACCCTAGTATCAGTACTGTCATTTTGCTGACATGAACAGAGGGACAAAAAAATGGAGTTGCCTGATGTACTTTTTCTCATTTGCGGTCCAGTAGGGTGATATACTTCCTTCTCATTTTGGCTTTCATGTTGTAAATGTGTTCTTCTCATTGTCTGTTGTCACATTTTTCACATTTTTGTTTTTTCTTTTTTTTATTAATTCTTAACCCAAGGATATGTTTAGAGAGAGGACTGGTGAGAGAGGAGGGTGGAGGGGGGGGAGAGTGAGAGAGAGAAACATTGATGTGAGAGAGTAACATTGATTGGTTGCCTCCCTTACCCACTCTGACATGGGGTTGAACAATGTGCCCTGCCTGGAGTTGACCCGCAACCCTTTTGTGCATGGGATGGTGCTACAACCAACTGAGCCACCAGCCAGGGTGACATATTTATTCTTTTTGTTGGTGATTTCACTGTCTAGAGCAGTGCCCAGGCATAGTGCTAAAGTGCTGCATAGTGCTCCCAAGTGCACAAAGGCTGTGATGGACTCTAGGGAGAAAATATGTGTATTAGGGAATCTTCATTCATACATGAATTATAGAGCCGTTGGCTTTGAGTTCAATGTTAATGAATCAATAATGTATACTAATTAAAGTGTCTTTAAATATATACACATATAAAACAAGTTTATATATTGATTGGTTAACAGATAAATTGTGACCAGAGTCTCCTATGAAATCTCACCTTGTATTTCCCTTAGGAGCAGTGGTTCAGTGTTCTTGGCAACATAGAGAACATAGCTACCTCGAATAACAAGACTTGACTATAATTGTAATTGTCTCTATTACCTATTAGAGCTCAGATTCCTTGACCCCTCAGTACTTAGCCCAGTGCCTGACACATCCAAGGTTCTCAATAAATATTTGAATGAATGAATGGTTTGCTTATTGTTTGTATTCTTTTGTGAATTCATGCTCACCTCCTTTGCTGTAATGCTGAATCAATCTTAAGTTTTTTTAAAATGATTTTTAAGAATTTTTTGTATAAAATGTGTGTCTTAAATTTTTTATAGGTCTGGGATAAAAGTGAAAGTGGAGATTGGCATTGCACTGCTAGCTGGAAGGTTAGTATTTATTTTTAAAATAATTTTAAAGATTGAAATGTTTTAAAAAACGGAAATGTTTGCTATTTATTTGGGAGTACCAGTGACTTGCTCTTTAGCTTTGGGAGATTTATAAAATTTATACTTCATTTCTTAAAAAGGAATTACACATTTTCCACTATTAAAGTAACAGAAAACACTTTAGAAAATTTGAGAATAAGAAAATTTGTAATCCCATAGCATTCTAACATAATTATTTTTAGCATGTTTAGTATTTCTTTTATTATTTGCATATTTATAATAACAGTGATGTTTCATACATTTTTCTTTGATTTTTTTTAAAAAACAACTTTACTCAGGTAGAATCTTACATACTTTAAGAGTCATCAATTTTAAGTGTACACTTCAGTGAGTTTTAATAAATTTATATAGTATTGTAAGCATCACCACAAACTAGTTTTGGAACACTTCCATCAGTCCTGAAATTTCCCTTGTGCCCATTTGGGTTCAGTATTCCTCAGTCCTAAGCCCCAGGCTACCACTGAACTATTTCTTCTTCTAGTTTTACCTTTTTTAGATATTTCATATAAATGGAATTCTGTAATATGTAGCTCTTTGTGTCTGGCCATATTCCCTTAGCATGTTTTTGAGGTTCATCCATGTTGTGGCATTTGTAAGTAGTTGGATTCTTTGTAATGCTGAGGAGTATTCCGTGGTATAGAAAAAACCATGTTTGTTTATTCGTTCACCAGCTGATAGACATTTGAATTGTTTCTAGTTTTTGGCAATTAAGAATAATGCATTATTAACATGCCATACAAGTTTTTGTGTGCGCCTACATTTTATTTCTCTTAGGTAGATACTGAAGAGTGGAATGGTTAGATAGTTTATGTTCTAATTTTCTAAGAAATGGCCAAACTCTTTTCCGAGGTGCCTGTACCATTTTATATTCCTACCAAGAAATATATGACAGTTCCCATTTTTGTACATCCTTCCATACACTTGATATTTTCTCTCTTTTTTGGTTTTTTCTTTTTTGATTATAGCCATCTTTGTCAGTTTGAAGTCGATATCTCATTGGGTTTTGATTTGTATGTCCTTAATGACTAAAAATGTTAATTATGTGTTTAATGTGCATATTTGCCATTCATTTATCTTTGGTGAATTGTCTATCCAAATCTTCTGCCTTCTTAAATTGAGTGAGATTCACACAAAATAAAATTAATTATCTTAAAGTAAACAGTTCAGTGACATTTACTCCCCTGATCATGTTGTACAGCTATCACTTCTGTCTAGTTTCAAAAGCTTTTTTTATCATTCCAAAAGGAAACCCCTGTTTTTTGCTTTTCAGCTTCAAAACACATTTCATAAGTACTGTACTTTGGGGTGTGTTCAAAGGCTCTTTAAATACATACCCTGTTTTGCTTAACTAATGGATATTGAAGTTCTCTTTATGTGATGACCATCTTTGTGCAGTTGTTATTCTTTAATTAGATCGTGCTTTACTAGGAATCTGACATTGAACAAAATCTTACAGCACTGGTGTATCTTTTTACTTAATAACTTGTATAAATAAGAATTAAAGGTGAAACAAGAAAAAGGCTGGACAAAAGAAAGAATGAAAAGTAAGGTGGGCCCTGGCCAGGTGTTTAGTTGGTTAGAGTGTTGTCCCAATACACTAAGGTTGTGGGTTTGATCTCCGGTCAGGGCACATACAAGAAGCAACCAATGAATACATAAATAAGTGGAACCACAAATCGATGTCTCTGTCTTTTCCCCCACACCCTTCCCCTTTTCTCTGTCTAAAAAATAAATAAGTAAAAAAAATAAGGATGTAAAGCTTACCTTCAGATGATGATATTGTTATCGTGTAGAAGTTAACAGATTATGAAAGTATTCTAAGATTGTTGAGTGTAAAAGTGTTTTAGATATGCAGAAGCATGAAACAAATTTCGTCAATGTAATTGGTGGACTGATGCTTGTCATACAGTATTTTTACTGGAAAGCGCAAATGAAATTCTGTTGTTGTGAAAGTCTTTAAGAACCTTTTCATCTTTTTATTTTGTCAATGCTAGGAGTTGAATAGTAGTTTGACATTTTTATATATAAAGGTACTGCTGCTCAGCTTTAAATTATTTCTCAGAATACAAGGATTTGGGCTTCTCTGTATTTGCTCACCCCTTGGCTCTTTTCCTAGAATAGTCCATTGCCTAGACAGACCTAGTTAGAATCATTTAAGCATTTTGTTGCTACAGTTTTTGTATACAGTGGTACCTTGGTATGAGCAAGCAACAAGTGATGAAGCATTTTCTCTTGTGGAGTGGTGGAGTGATGCATACAAGTTCTAGCAAGTGCTACGAGTCCCGAACAAGTGCCCAGTGCTGAAACGTGTTTTTCTTGTCAGAATGTGACGAGTACAGGGTTTGGTGAGTTCTGAAGCCAGTGAGTACTGAGGTATGAGTATACTGTTAGGCTTTTGGAGCAGGTAATTTTGATTAATCGTATTTATTAGATGGATGTTCCCTGTAGATATAATTTGCAAAATTAGTCTGCTGGTAGAATCTCTTGTTTAAAAGCTTGTTTAGGCTAAACTCTGAAGCAGATTTCTAATATTAGCATTGGAAGAGGAAAACTTTATCCAGCTAGATATTTCTTTGTTAATAAAATATTAGAAGAACTTGACTTCAGAAGGGCTGCAATTCTATATATAAAATATCTTGAAGTTAAAAAGTTTTAGTATTTAAACTTACTATTGAAATAATAAATTGAATACCTTTCTCCTTTTACTAAAGTAAAAATATCTGTATTCAATTTCCTTAAGTAAAACCGTATATATGTGAAATATGAGTTAACTCAATTTTTTGTTTGTTGTTTTTAATTCCTCAGACACATAGTGGATCTGTGTGGCGTGTGACATGGGCCCATCCTGAATTTGGACAGGTTTTAGCTTCCTGTTCTTTTGACCGAACAGCTGCTGTATGGGAAGAAATAGTAGGAGAATCTAATGATAAACTGCGAGGACAGAGTCATTGGGTGAGACATTTGTTGGTTTTTGGGAAATGTGGGGGCATGAGTATTCAAGGAGCAATAGTGTTTCCAAGAACACGTCAGGCACTTGGTATGGTGTTACCAATCCCACTATGTTTACCAGTTTCATTGTTCTTTCTTCCGCGTTTTTCTCCTACTGTTTATCTAATTTTGTCTTGGGCCTGAAGTGGTACTTACGAGTACCCATGGCATTGCTTATTATAACTTTCATGGTGAATCCAGAGTATTTGCTTTGTTAAAGAGTACCCTCTAAAATTCCTTAAAAATTGTTTTTTCTCTTTTGTGGTTACCTTTTCTTTCTTACAAAATATACTTTTTTTTTGTTTGTTTATCTGTTTCTGCTTTAACTATAACCCTTCCCTGATTGGGTGTTTGAATTTAGGCAAGAGCATAATATGTTTGCTGCTCAAGTTCCTTGTCTGTAAAGTAAGAATTAAAATTAGATTGCCTTTAAGACTCAGTCCAATGTTATGTTTTTTTCCCCTCTTTATTTTTTATAATAGATATTCAGGCACAAATATAAATTTCAAAAAGTACAGACAAGTGTATACAGGGAGAACTTCCTCTTCTCTTGCCACTATTACAGGTTTTTCATGTATCCATCTGGATACATCAACCTATCTTTAAAATACGAATGCAGATGCATTGTTTTCTTCTGTATTCTTACCAATCCTCCCCATATCCCCTCACACTAATTTTAATGTGCTGTCAGTACTGTTTATTTTTCTGCTGCATTTTGAAATAGTGGTAAAATATACATAACATAATATTTATAATTTTAACCATAAATGTAACATTTAGTGGCATTAATTACATTCACAATGCTATGTACCCATCACTGACAGCTATACCAAAACTTTTCATCTTTCCCACATAAACTTTGTACCATTAAAAGGTACCTTTTCCTTTCCTTCCTTCAGCGCCTGGTAACCTCTATTCTGCTTTCTGTCTCTGAATTTGACTACTTTAGGTATGTAAGTGGAACCATACAATATTTGTCCTTCTGTATTTGGCTAGTTTCACTAAGCAAAATGTTTTTAAGGTCCATCTTTGTTGTGTATGTATACCACATTTTGTTTATCCATTTATCTATGGATGGACAGCTGGACTGTTTTCACCTTTTAGCAATTGTGAATAATGCTACTATGAGCATCGGTATGTAGATAGCTCTTTGATACCTTGCATTAATTCTTTTGTATATATACCTAGGAGTAGATTTACTGGGTCATATGGTAGTTTTATGTTTAACTTTTTGAGAAACTGCTAAACTGTTTTGCACACTGGCTGCAGTCATTTTACATTTCCACGAACAATGCATGAGGGTTCAAGTTTCTCTATTTCCTTGCCAGTGCTTGAGAAGTGGTTTTGATTTGCATTTCCCTAGCATTTAATGATGTTAAACATCTTTTTATGTGCTAATTGATCATTTGTATATCTTCTTATGATTCTGTGATTTATAAGACATATGTATTTGGTTATTCAGCTGACCAAAATATATTTCTCATATATTTAGGTTTCATTCATGGTTCCAGAATCATAGTTCCCAAAACCCTTGGAATTTCTTAAGTGTTAAGAACGATAAAGGTGTCTTTTGTTATGTTAGTGATATAACCTTTGGAAAGCACCTAAGGATGGGTGTTGGTTGCCAGTGTAGCCAACCAAGACTTTTCAGGGTTGAAACTTTCAGTCCCACCCCCCAACCTCCAGAAGCGGGGAGGGGCAGATGATTTAGTCAATCATGTCTATGTAAGGAAGCCTTCGTAAACATCCAAAAGGACAGGGTTTGGAGAACTTCTGGGTTGGTGAACATTTGGGAAGAGTGACATGCCTGGAGAGGGCATAGAAGCTCCGTGTCCTTTTCCCATACCTTTAAACTCTTCCATTTGGCTGTTCCTGAGTTATATCCTTTTATAATAAATCAGTAATGTAGTAAGTAAAATGTTTCTTAAATAACTGAGTTCTGTGAACTGTCTAGAAATTAATTGAACTCAAGGAGGAGCTCTTGGGAACCTCTGATTTATAGCCAACCAGTCAGAAACACTGGAATCTGAAGTCATGGGTGGATGGGGGCCGTTTTGTAGTACTGAGCTGTGGTATCTGACACTGTCTCTGGGTAGATAGTGTTAGAATTTAGTTGAATTCTCCTCAGACCTCTTGGTTTCTGAGAATTGTTTGTTGGTGTAGGCCCTACACTGTCAGGGGACCCATCCCCCTCACCCTCAATTGCAATTGTTACCAGAACCCTTTTACTTCTTTAGAGGAAATGTCTATTCAAGTCATTTGCCCATTTTTTTAAAATGGGTTGTTTTTTTTTCTTGTTGGTGCTTAGTTGTAGGAGTTCTTTGTATAATCTGAGTATTAATCCCTTATCAGATATATGATTTGCAGATATCTTCTCCCATTCTGTGAGTTGTATTTTCATCTTCTTGATAGTGCCCTTTGATACACAGAATTTTGAAATTTTCATGAAGTCTGGTTTATCTAGCTTTTTGTTTCCTGTTTTTGCTGTCATATTCAAGAAACCTTTGTCAAATTCAATGTCCTGAACATTTTCCTTAGAATTTTCTTTTAAGACTATTTAATTTTTAGCTCCTACATTTAAGTCTTTGATTCATTTTGAGTTCATTTTTATGTATGGTCTAAGATTAGTGTCCAGTCATTCTTTTTGCATTTGATACCCAGCTTTCTCAGCACCTTTTATTGAAAAAATTGTTCTTTTCCCATTGAATGGTCTTGGCACCCTCATTGAACATTGCTTGACTATGTATTTCTAAACTCCATTCCCTTGGGTTATATGTTTCTCCTTGTGCCAATACCATACTGTTTTAATTGCTGTAGGATTGTAGCTTGTATGCTATTCATACTGTTTTACAATTCTCTTTTTTTGTGTGTATTGGAAGGCTTTGGTCTCACTGCCTTTGCACTAAGGCCTTCCTCAGGAAAACAGCTGCTTAAGAGGAGGAGAGAAGGGAAATTTAGAGAAGTAATTTTTCTAGCAGTCAGTCTGAGATGGATCAGTTAGTATACCATAGCTAGGGTTTAGGAGGGATAGCATATAAGGGATTTCTATTTCAACTTAGATATACTTATCTAAGTTGATATAAGTAGTTAAATTGTCACTAATTTAATATTTTAACATTTGTGTTGGTGATATTTAATGGTGTTTGTAGACAAAGGTTTGCAGAGATGGGGGAGTGGATCCAGGATGGCAGAGGAGTGAATGGAAGTTACACTAACCTCCTCCCAGAACCAATCTGGAATTACAGCTAAACTGTGGAGAAATAATTCAGAACAAACAACTGAACAATAGCGAGAGAGAAGCCTTATAACCACAGACAGACAGCGTAAAAACAATGTGGCCGTTAGGGAATGTGGAGGAAATGCAAGAGGGCTAGCTGGGTGGCCACAAGTGGCACCTGAAGTTCTGGAGGCATATCTAAGCAGCCAGGGCCCATCACCCTCGGAAGTGCTGGGCTCCCCAGCCTACAACACCAGAGTCCAAAAAGTATACATAGCATCCAGCTGTGAAAAGTGGCAGGGTCGCTCTCTGCCAAGGATCATGGCTGGAGAAGCAAAGAGCCACTTAAAGAGCCAACACATAAATTTTCATATGCAGCCACTTAACCCTGGGCTCTGGCAAAGGGGCGGGGCAGAGTGGACACTTAAGGAGAGACTGGGGACGGAGTCTTTGGGGAGAGAACTGAGAAAGCAGCTGCCAGAATCTTGGTGCTGAGTCACCCCAATACTGCAGGAGCCATCTTGCTCAGGCAGATTGCCCCTCTCTGAGTAGCATCAGCCTGAGGAGAAGCAACAGCCCCACTACCAGGAGTGACTCAGCCCCACCCTGTGGTGCTTAAGCCTGATTGCTGCTTGCAGAGTGACTAGATTAACAACTGAAGGAGTCAGCCACAGACCATAGATCTCTGGTAGCCCTGAACAGACTGCCTAAGGACATGTGGGGTCACCATTTGACATCACCAGGGGAGGATCCAGAAAGAAAAAACAATGGTCAATACTAGATGCTACCAAGACAAAATCCACGGTGGTCTTCTCTATGATTTGCAACATTGTCTTTCTTGCATAGTATTTTAAAATTCATCTCTTATTCTTACGTTTATGCATATTAAGTCAGTAGGTTTTGTATTATAGTTTATTTCAATTCCCATATTTTGCTCTTCCCTTCTCTTAGCCCATTTTACCTTCTTCTTTCCTGTTATTATTTTCATTTTAAATTTTACTTTCTCTCTTGCTACAAATTGTTTCCATTACACACTCTTACTATTTCTCCTGTCCAACCTCTCAAAACCAATTTTCTTGTCAGTTGTCATCTCACATTCTTTTTCCTGCTCTTCAAATACCTGCATTCTCTCTCCAGCTTAAGCATCTTTGCTTGTTCGTTGTGGACAGGGTAGTAGTTGTTGCAGTCTTTCATATTATCTCTAGATCATCACTATTTTAGTATTTCAGATCTCAAAATACACTGTTTCCCTCTCCTACTCCATTTTGTCTTCATCCATCCCATTCATTTTTTTGTCTCAAGTTTTAATTTTTCCTTGTCTAAGCCTGTTTTTTTCTTTCTCTATTTAGTCCTGTCATTTTTTTTTTGGTCTCAAATTTTATTTTATACCTGTCTTAGCCTGGTTTTCGTTCCTCTTATTATTCCCTTCCCCCCTGTCATCTCAAAATCATTTCCTTTTCCTCTAGGCATCTCTTAAGCTCTTCTTTATTTTTTTCCTCTTATTCCCATCCCACCTATATTAATTTTAGCTTGCTTGTTGTTGATAGTGCTCTGGTGGATCTTTTTCTCCAATTTGGTTCCTATTTTTTTTTATTCTTTTCATTTTTCTTTATATTTCTCACTTTATTTTCATTACTGTTTAAACATAATGCTATATGCTTCCCTTCTCCTACTCTATCTGCCTTTTTCATTCCCTTTCTTATTTATGATGTAAATTTTACTTTCTCTCTTCATATCATTCCGAGTC